ACATTACCTGTTTCAAAGCTGGGAGCCGAAGGTCCCTTCCTGTGACTGGCACACTGAGAAAGTGCCCATTAGCTGCTTTCTGGTTAGCGGACAACTTCAGTAGCTTGAAGGAAATAAAGAACTATTGATCTTTGCACCATGCCAAAGAGTTAGTCATGAAGAGTTACATTAGAAAAGAAGAATAACCTAAACCTGGTAGTTCTTGGATACTTGCTCTGAAGACTTTACAAAATGGGTGTATGAAAAAAGCTTTTATAGATTGAAATTTTGTCCATAATAGTTTAGTAACTTTTTGCTCTTTATAAAATAAACAATATCCTAATTCACTGGCCTGTTCTCATAAAACATTCCCAGATATGTTAGACTGACTGATCCAAGCCTTTGAATTGCTTTGATTTTCCATCTTTCTTCTTCTGCTGAAAGTAACCAGATGGTCTGACTAGCTGCTTACCCGTTTGCACAGCAATGTATATGCCTGCTAGAAGATGAAACAAGTTTCCTGCTGAGGAACTGAAGGAATAGTCAGCTGTCCTCAGCTGGAAGGACACTTCATTAGATGCTGTAATGTTAAATTTGACAGATGATGGCAAGTGTGTTACATCTTTGGAAGGGAATAGAGCACTTAATAAACTGCTGTATTTCAGAAATGCATAGAAACTGCTAATTGTTTTTAATTTATATCAATATGGAGAGCACTATATGGCTAAAGTACTAGTTAACTCATTTATTCATTAATACAAAAAATTAATTCCTGCACCTAGTGAAGTGGACTTTTGCTTCTGGTCTTTGTGTCCTTGCAAAACAAAGCTGTGCTTATGATAATAATTCATTGTGTTTATTTTCTACATATGGAACTTTATATTGTTATTTTGATTAATTAATTTTTTCAGCTCTAGTCAAATGTTAATGTGACATACAAAGTTGAGTAAATACATCTGGAGTATAATTTCTGTGGAAAATGAATGGACAATTAATGGATAGGTGCCACACTGTCAGATAAACTGTACTGCCTCCTGGAGTAAAAACAGAGTATTCTGTGGTCTATATAATGTGGAAACAGAAAAATATTACTAGAGTAGCCAGTCCATGTACCCATCCAGCAGAGACTAAGAAAGCAATGCAACATCACACATGGTGCTAGAGGTGAACCTCTCCCACATTTATAGCAGTTATTTTCTTGAAGAAAAAAATGTTTAGGAATTACATAGCAACAGGGAAGGGGGGAAATTGTCACCTACAGTGGCATATTGATACGGTCCACAAGAACAATTAACCTGATCTGAGTTGGAACCAAAACTGTGGTCCTTACAAAAGGCCTACTAATCTAGTTCTTTAAAGGTCATCCTATGCATTGTGTCATTCACCTTAACTCATACAGGTTTTCCTGAAATCAGTCTTAATGCTGTCTTTCTGATATGTAGAATTTCCTATCCAGAGTGTTCTGTCACACTAATGCAATAATAAAATACAATCTACACATTCCCCGTTTTACGAGATATAGACATGGTCAGGCTTCTTTAGAAATTCATGGTGTTCCAAAAACTTAAACTGATACTCTTGCTGAAACACTGGCATAGAATCATAGAATCATTTTTGGTTGGAAACCACCTTGACAAGTCCACCACTATGTGTGCAACTGATATATTGGTGATCAGTTTTGATTATTATAACCTTCAGAACAGGCTTAGCTTTAAACTTTTGTCCTTGCCCTTGTCTTGATGGCAGGAAGTACTGTATTTGAGCCCTTTCCATGTTCTTTTGAGAGCTGCATTCTTCTCTGGGAAATATCTGATGCTAGCAGAACATAAATCGTGATTTTCACAGACAAATTAATTACATCTATATTAAATATGGACTCTAAGATCAAATGAATCATTTAGTGCTTTCAAATAGTCATTTTTCATTAGTGAAGTGATTGACATTTGTTTCAGAATGTTCTAGGGAACAGTTGTCCAAAGAGATTATATAATTAAAGTAAAACCTGCATTAAGAGTTGAATTACAGGTTCATTGTAGGCTAATGCATAACTACTAATTGGAACTGAAGACATTCTTTTGTTAGGAAAGAAAAGATAGAAGGATTTGACACTTTTAAAGTGTCAGCATGAAGGCAATGCACCATGCCAACTGCCAATGGGAACATTAGTAATATGCTGCCATTGCTTTCATTTTATGCTAATAGAGAACCTAGTTTCTCCAAGGTGTTTGAAAATAGTCTGTGCCCTTTGTATTTCACTGCACACTCCTGTGCTATTGTTTGTATTTCATAGTCTGTTTAAATTGAACATCAAGGAGAGCATAATTGTTGAGGGCACTTGGTGTACTTGATGCCACTAATACTAGTTTTAAATATACTGTGGATATTTTCATTCCTTTATTCTCATAGTTAAATCTATTGTTTATGTATTTGTTTAAAACAAAACAAAGCAAAACAACTTTGATTTATTTAAAAGAACACAAGTGTGTGATGGGAACACATTCTGACCTTCTGTGTTCTTCTTTCTGGCCCAAGTAAATTAGATTTCATATATCTTGTCTTATTATGCTTGGAGTTTGTTCCAAACAAATAGCTAATAGATGAAATGAACTTAAATGCAGAACACATACAGTTAACAAACACATGAGTTTTGTGGCCAGAGTACGAATGGTGCTATTGATATGTATAACAAAGCAATATAGATGATGTATCAGTAACTATAATACAACTCTAATCAGTCAAGAACCATTGCTGGTAATATATTACTTGTGTGTTCATCACACAGCACTTTTTATGTCAGAAGGCTGTAGTTCATCTTTTGAATGAGACCATTCAACTGAGGAACGTGAAGCTTTCCCTGCTTCCTGAGCAGGCAGCTCCATAGAACATCAAAGAAGGTGGAAAAAGTATATTTATTTCAGTACTATACATGAATTCAGTGGTCTCGTTGTCCCGGGATGAAATCTGACATTGTCTCTTAAAGGTTTCATCCCGTCCTTGAAGTGATCTAAAAGACAGTGTTCTAGAGTAATAATGATTAAACCAGTACTTTCTGCATTTTTTTACACTCTTCAGAACAGTTTGGATCCACAGTCAACATCTCTTTTGTTTTGGGCATGTGATAGTTTTTAAATTCAAGTAACTTATTTGTTGACTGTAGCAAAAGACACCTCCTTATGTTTCTAGTATTGTTTGCAGGTATTTTAGGTGAAGAAAGCTGAAAAGCAAGCAGTGATCATTAGTCACATAGATTTTCCACCTAGTTGAGTTATCTCTAAGTTCAACCATGTATTGTAAAGCTTTATTCTGTGTGAGATCTAGAGAATATCTTAGGAAATGGAGCAGGCATTCACTGAATTTAACTGCTCCCTTTGGGCAAAATGTCCTTCTCACTCTTGTAACTAAAATGCAATGGGTTCAATCAAAGGAGAAGGGATCAGGGTGAGCTAGGGGATAGAAGAGGAAAGGACTGACTGTTCGACCTGACTGGCTCGTTACAGTACACTGCCATTATTTCATGGGAATCAAGTTTTGTGAGGGACATTAGGTCAAGACTCTTACAATACCCACTAGTTTCTATAGTTCTTCTCAAAGCTGTTGGAGTTTTAAGTACATTCAGTGCTAATTCTGTTCCCATGTTACTTTAATTTGATTTATCTACTGTTATCTAAGCATATTAGCCCCAAAGCCTTAAGAGTTAGGTAGTATGTGGAAATTCTTCAGCAAGAAGTATGACATGAAAAACCATCAAGTTTCTTTTTACATTCTAGATTAATTAAAAATATATTTTGATAAAGACATGCCCCCAACAAAAAAGAAAGAACTATGCTACCACTTTATAGATCTGAAATAAAGCCCACAGAATTCTTTATTTTTGTTAATGAGGAATATTTGGGTTTCCACACTTGAATGATAGTTGATTGAGATTGAGAATGATCATTTGTGGCAGACACATAAGCAGGGTAGGAGACAGTTTCCTAGCTGGTATTTAAATATGAACAAAGATTGTTCATTTAAATATGAACACTACTCTTGACTGCTAGAACTGAGTAGAGAAACTATCTCTCACCCTGCCCGAGCCCAAGAATTGTTAATATTTCTAAGTGTGTTCTTATTCCTCAGCTTGAAAATGGGATCAACTCAAACACTTCTTTTTGCAATTGACTTTTTATTTTTTTGTATTTTAGTACAAATAAATAAATATCCTACCCCATATGTTTTGCTGTTTCAAGCCTCACACAATGACTTTGGCCTTAATCCCGTAAACGTCTTCCTGTGGGTTGGGGAATCCACAGTCACAAGTTTGGGACTGTTTCTTGGAACTCTATATATGACTTTGGTCTCCTCTATTCTAGAATGATGAATTCCTCTTGGAGACACTTGCAGAGAAAGGCTACTATACTTATCAAATTGAGTAAGCAGAGGTTAAAGGGTTCTGGTTTTTAGCCCAATGAGAAAAAAAAAAAAGTCTAAAATCATAAGTTTAGTCTCTCAAAATACCTAGGACATAAAAACCAAGGAAACAGAAGACATTTTCATGCTTGAAGCATTTTTTCTTAGAACTCTTATATTCAAATATAATTACATTATGTATTAAATTAGTTTAGTGAATCTGGAGATTGATTAAAGGAATTGGTCCTCTATGTGAGCTGGATATATTAAAAAAAAAAAAGTCTATACAATCACTCGGGTTAATTAAGTCAGCAAGCTGTGTTTGACAACGGATGGATCATTTCTTACAACTTGAAGATTTTTTTTTAAAGGCGTGAAAAAATTAGAGGCCAGACGAAGAAAAACCTATAAGCAGGGCTCTTAAAGGATATTAGTTATTTTTTCAGAATAACAAAAATAGAATCAAACACCTTTAGAATTGTACCTGCAACCTTGCGTAAACAGCAATAGAAAAATTGCCACTGAGTACTGAATTATTATTTGTTAGCACTGAGTCACTTCCTAGCTTTTAAGTTCCACATGGTTCACTAACTTTGTTGTTTTCTCTGTATGTTGAATTTTTCTCTCCCCAGAGATTTGCCTTTTAACCAAGGGCCGTCGAACTGCCAGTGTACGAGCAGACACGTACTGTCGCCTGTATTCCCTCTCGGTGGACAACTTCAATGAGGTTCTGGAAGAGTACCCCATGATGAGAAGGGCCTTTGAAACTGTGGCAATTGATAGACTTGACAGGATAGGTATTATTTTTTTTCCATAATAGCCATTCTTAAAACCTTTCCACCTTCTCTTTTCCTTGAGCTGCAGGATAAAATGCCCAGATTAAACCCTTCTTAAAACTTTCATTTCTATTACACTGCAGTAAATGTTCTGTTGATCTATGAATAAGACATGTCCAGACAAGAAATTCTGCAGTCTCACTTTTAAATAATAAAAACCTTCTGAGTTTTAGAAAGCTCTCCTACTCCTATGGGGATTAGTTGTTATATTTTAATTATCATTAATATTATTTATTAATCCTGTATATTTCTTTTGCTGCCCTCAGCACCTGATAGGTTTTATGCTGTTTCATGTCTGGCAGATGACATTTTCCTGCATAAACAGTTTGAGTTGACATCTTTAATGCTGGGAAGAGCTGAAGCCTCTCAGCACACACAAAACCCGTGTTTGTTGAAGTGAATTAATCCTTTGCAGCAGGGCTCTCATTTTCCTCACAACATGGGCACTGCAAGCATTAATGGTTGGACACTGGTGTTGTTCAGATCTGCTTGAAATCAGAAAAGCAGGCAAATGAGATCCAAGTGAAAGGCAGAAGGATATGGCGGATTATCAAAACAGGGTTTGCAAAGTCTGCTCTTGTGGGTCCAGACATTCTAGACCTCTCTAATAGGACATACTAGATAAAGTATATGGTCTTTGGTTGGGAGAATTGCATTCTGATAATTCTAATTGACACAGGTTTTAAAATGCAGCTATGCATAAAAAAAGAATTTATCCTGTTTGTTGATGTTTCTTCAACTTCACAAGAAAACTCTAGTGTAAGGATTTCCCCACATCACTCTTTTTCAATGCAGTTATATCTGCAGTTTTTTCAAAGTGAATACAGAAAGAATTACACAGGTCAGTGTCAATGTGCAGTCTGTTGTAAGCTGAAGGTGTGATTTGGAAGAGAGCGTGTTTTCTTTAATATAGTAAGAGTAAAGAAATGAAGTACAAGTGTCTAATATTTAATACACCTGGTTTAGTATTTGGCAGACTGTGAACACTCAATACATTAGTTTATCATATCAAGACTTTCCAAACTGTTATAATTTGTCTTTCAAGACTCTCTCTGTAAAGTAGTCCAACTCTAGGTAATGTGCTTAAGTAATATTAGTAGTAAAGTCCCATTTGCTCTTGAAGTAGCAATCCCATCTGAAGTGCTGTGTTTACAACATGAAGTCTACACAGTACAAAAGATAAAATGTGAACCATTTTATCAAAAAAAGGAAGAACTGAGTGCAATTGTGTTCCGGTGTGTCTGATGACACGGAGCAGTGTCTACATCTTGCAAACACTGAGGGCCATCAAGCAAACATCAGGACACAGTGTACAGCAGTCATTATTGTGCAGGCAGGTGTCACATCGCCCTTGAGTTCATAAGCATTTAAAAAGATTGTTTCTTGCAAGCTAGTGGCCACTGGTTACTAATGTCTAATAATTAGTTCCAGGCAATGTGCTAAATGACAGGTGTATTTATAACTTATGTAACAGTTTAGTAGAAATTACCACAGTTTTGCAATGAGAAAGACATTAAACATGCAGAGCCCGATGGCTTTTTCCACCCTGTTGTTCAGTAAATTACCATGGTTACATTTTCAGAATAATTGTAGTAATAGCGATACACCTGCAAGTGAAGCTGAGGCTATTACAATACACAGCCCTTGGTGATGGGGGCTGAAACACAAAGTCGGAGCAGAGGTCTGCTCCTGTGTGTCAGGCTCACTAACTCTTCTACCTCTCTATGAAGGGAAGAAGAACTCAATCCTCCTGCAGAAGTTCCAGAAGGACCTCAACACCGGGGTTTTCAACAACCAGGAGAATGAGATCCTGAAGCAGATCGTGAAGCATGACAGGGAGATGGTGCAGACCATTGTCCCGGTGAGCTTGCAGCAGAAGCCCACCCTGAACTCCAGCACCTCCGCCTCGTCGTTGCGCATCAGGACGCAGTCCCCTCCTGTGTACAGCGCCAGCAGCCTGTCCCACGGAAACCTGCACTCCCACTCGCCCAGCACACAGACGCCCCAGCAGGCCGCCATCCTCTCGCCCTGCTCCTACACCACCGCCGTCTGCAGCCCGCCCGTACAGAGCCCTTTGGCCGGCCGAACTTTCCAGTACGCCTCGCCGACAGCCTCGCAGCTCTCCCTCATGCAGCAGCAGCAGCAGCAGCAGCAGGCGCCCCAGCAGCCCCCCGGGGCCTCACAGAAGAATGAGGTCCACAAGAGCACCCAGGCTCTCCACAACACCAACCTGACCCGGGAGGTGCGGCCCCTCTCCGCCTCCCAGCCTTCCCTGCCCCACGAGATCTCCACCCTGATCACCAGGCCTCACCCCACCGTGGGGGAGTCCCTCGCCTCCCTCCCGCAGCCCGCCCCCGGCCCCGGCATGCCCCCAGCTGGCCGGGCCACCATCCAGCAGCGCGTCTCGCTCTTCAGACAGATGTCTTCGGGAGCCATCCCCCCGAACCGGGGGTCCGCACTGCCCCCAGCCCCCCTGAAAAGGGATTCTTCCGCAGTCTTAAGCACAGAGTCCGAGGGAGACAAACCGCGGTTCGCCTCAAACTTATGATCCCTGGTAACTGTGAGCAACAGACTTGAAACAAACCGAGCACCATCCCCGAACTGTTTTAGCCTGTTTCCTAATGTACCCCAGCAGTCTACTATGAGAAAAATACTTTAGACAGCTTTGCCCTATGTAATGAATGTAAAAATTCTACATATAAAAAAAAATATATAAACAAAAAAAAGGAATTAAAAAACTTGTTTGAATTCATGTCTTCCTTTCTTGCAACCATTAGAAGTCTAAATTCAGCTGTAGTATTACTTATTTTTAGTGTGTCAACTTTAAAATCAGTCTATTTCTCTGTTCATGAGGTTTGCTATTTTCATGGTAAAGTTGTCAACACAATAACAAATTTCAAACAGGTATATTAAAAAAAGAGAGAGAAATAGCAATCTAACTAACACATAGTACTGACCAAGTGATATTCTGAAACCTTTGTTATTTCATTTATTGCATACGTGTTGTTAATTTCTCGTGGATTCAGTTGTTATTTCCCATTGTGTTTCATGTTCGCACTTTCCATTGGGGATTATATTGGAAAAGAAATAAATTGCAAACACCTGCAGTCAAAGGGCTGGCACTAACACTCCTCTGGATAGGTTGTAACCTCATGAAATGTCAACCCTTCTGTTGTTTCAGAAAGTTGGGTGGACTTTGATCTTCACATTGCTAAAGACTCTTACAAAGACTGTAAATATTGCCATTGTACATAACTTTTTAGACCCAAACAAAAATAGCTGCTGTGTAGTCTACCATTGCAAGGTCTTTGTTTAGGAATTTAGGTTCCACTCTTCACTTCAAAATTTACAGTTTTAAAATTTGTTTAAGCTAAGTGCAACACAACTGTTAAATTGTAATGCAATGGCTTAAAACCTACAATGTTACTTTTACTTGCAATGTTTTATGCAAAATTGTACGCTTGATCCTGCAAACCGCTTGTACTTCACCAATACCATCACTTTTCTTCTCCTTGCCCTCAGTAGCATCCGAGAATATTCCATGCATGCTTTGGAAGAAAAAAATTTAAAAAAACAAAAAAATAAATAATCATTAAAAAAGATAAAAATAGGTTTGGTCAGCCATTGTAGGAAAAGGCTTTATGGTATCTTAGAAAATAATAACCATTCATTGATTGTGTCTACCTTAAAATTCCTATAATGCTGACTTTGAATCTCTGGTTTAAGTCTAGAAGTGAGGTTTTTCATTTAAAGGATTATTTCTAAACCACAGCTTGATTTAGGCTTTCAGGTGCTTTCTGTGTCTTCACTGTAGTTTTGTAGTTGACTGTGGTGTTAATTTACAAAAATAAATATAATATAGCATCAAGTCTGTCTGGAAATGCACGATTTGCTCTGTGTGTATTGTAATTAAATGGATAGTATATCCTAAGGCATGTAGTGTCAAACATAGCCCATAGGTATGAGGTTTATTATTTTTTATGTCTTCAAAACAGAAAGGAAATGGTGACAGAAAGCAGGGTTAAAGCATACGGTTTTGTGAATGTTTTGTTTTGTTTGCTCAAACCTTCACGTTATCTTATCCACAAAAATAGTTCTTTCGTAATCGTTTGTGCCTGATTTGTCACATTAAATAGAGATTGAAACTAAATGTGTCATAATTTAACTCATTGAATCAGCATTATGGATGTGATACAAGCATATATTCTCTTCCTTAAAACCCAGCTGACTCATGTTAAGGAAGTAAATGCAAAGGAGTTCTTTTACCATTAATGCTGAGTTTAACGATGCATGGAAAAATTGAAGAACATCACAAACTACGTAATGCAGTGAATCCAGATGTACTTGAGCGCCAAGTAAATATTCTAAAGCTAACAGAGCTTGAACTCATGCTGCCTGTTATGCCTTTTACTGTAGTACATCAAATAAAAAATTTTAAAAAATCTTCCAGTTTTTGCTGGCGCACACTCACCAGTAAAAATCGATGTAATTAACCCATTAACATGCTGCTGCCATTAATTCAAGTGGCCCGGAGTATATGGGGAATAGATTGTTTAAAACTCTTTGGAACATTATGGATACGCTGCAAGACCATTTATGTATCAGTACAATACCCCTTATATTATTTTAATACTAACAAATTCTGTCAGTTAATTAAGATCATATACTGATCTTTCAAACTGTTTAAGGTTTACATTTGATAGGAGAAATGGGGTTAGTAGTGAAATATTTTTATATATATTTTTATTTTATTTTAAGCACTATGAAGAAATATTAATTCACATGGTCTTTCAGTGAAACCATAAATAATTTTTAATGACTTTGTAATAGAGTGGACAATATCTAGGATTTGTATGTTAATTAAAAATAATGGTACAGGGTATAAAATTATATACGTATATATATATATGTATGTATGAATGTATATATAATTAGATTAAGAAAAAAATGACTCACATTCCTGTAATATAAAGGTCCATTGCTAGTTTCAGAACTGACCTATTTTCTCTGTACATAAGTAAGCCCATAAGTATGAAATCTCACATCTGTACAGGATGAAATGTATTAATGAAAAAGGTTGGATCTTACTGCTGCTGGGAAGACTATAGATCTGATTCTTACAATAACTGTATGATCAGGGATGAGTTAGATATTTCTTTTGTCTTTGCTCAAAGCCATAAATAAATATATATAAAAGGTTATTAATAAATTTAAGAAAATATATAAAAAATAAAACCGTGAATATTTTTTTGTTTCAATATCTTTATAATTTACCATGAAAGAAGAACTGTTTACTTTTCTATTTTCTTTGTTCTGGGCCCAGAGTTGATATGTGTTAAGCCTGGGGAGGTGGGGGAAAAACTGCATGACAATTATGTGTACTGTAGGAAAAAGAGAACTTAGAAATTTGAGGATACCACCTGATTCATTCAAGCAACTCCTGAGCTATATTTTCTCTGTAGATTAGAGGAATTCGTTGTGCTAAAACCTTTTTCTCCACAAAACTCTCATTTAAGCCATTATCACTAACCTGTAATATTTCTTGAGTACAAATATTTGAAACTGAAGTTTACTTATATATAAGATTTTAAATATTCTGGAGGAGAATCCCAAGTAGTTGTTAGTGTAACTGAAGGAAAATTTATTCTATCGTATTTTCACTTTATCTTACTATGTGTGCCAATCAGAGATTGTGTACCTCTGAACTTGTGTATAATAGTTGAGATTTCAAGGGAACATGGATGTAGAAGTAGTGTTCATTAATTACATTTAGGTCATTGTAAATCAAAAAGCATAGTCCGTTCAAATCAGTAGTAGTTTGTTGTTTTGTTTTGTTTTGTTTTTACGTTAACTTCAATAGGATCAATATAATCCTAGACTGATAAACTGTGATTTTAAGCAAGCACGAGTAGTATTTTCAAAGTGCACTCCAAGGTGTATTGTGAATTCTTTTTACTTATCAATAGTATTAGGTTTTTTTATTTTGCATTACTAAGGTGTAACTCCAGTCCAACTGTAGTCAATGAAATTATTTCTAAAAGATTGGCATTATACTAAAAAATTCTTATTTAGCAGCAAAATTTCATTTACATTTGACCACTGCATAGTTTATACTTTGCTGTTTGGTCCAATCTTGTTATTTCATGCATGTTTGTGTACAGAACCAAGAGAAACAAAGGGTTGTTTTTAAGTGATATTTCATAACACTATATATGATATTTATATATAGTTTAATTTTAATTTAATTTTAATTTCATTCATTTAATTTTAAAAGCAACAGCAGAATTTGAAACAAAGTAAATTTTATTTTAAACAGCAAACTTCCATGTCTTGATGCATGTCATTAAGAGTTGAGCTTAATATTTCTATTTTCAAAACTTACTCATGAGTTCTCATTGCTGGTTTCAGGACAGAGAACTGACTGACTTCAATCAGTTTCACACTAACTTCAGTATTTCTATCCACATAAGTTCTTTTCTACTTTATAGATGATATTTTCCAGTGAAGAAAAATGTTTTGTGTTTAAAATAAGATGTTTGATTTTTAAACAAACCCATAATTCAACTGCTCTGGGAACACACAGTGACGTTACTAATTTCTGCTCTTCCAAAGTCCTCTGTTTACACAAAAAAGTGTTACAAGATAGGAAGAGAAAGTGTTTGTTCAGAAACCATGTCTCTGAGCTACAAGCATTATCTAGTACAGTCTAGAACACACTATAAGAATTGAGTATGCAAATTTTAGTGGATTTGTCGTTCCCCTCCCTTCTTTTTTTTTTTAGGCAAGGAAGAGTAAAAGCCCTAGACTTTATCCTTTGAGAAATACATGCTGTGAATCTTGAATCTATACATTTTTACCAACAATCAGTAGCCATTGCTCCTTTGCATATTTATCAATTTGAATCACCTGTGTGATTTGTGTAGTGGATCATACAGGCAGATGGCGTAATTTCTGATCCATGGTTACGTTTCCCTCACTTCTGTGAAGACATGTGATATCTTAACATACAGTATCGTAAGAACTTATGGTAGCACTGAATTTTTCAAGGCAAGATATGTGAACAGTAGAAAGAGAAATGCACTGATAATAGACAAGCAGACTATCCAACTAAATGAATTGATATTAAATCTACCTGTATATCTTCCATATACATTTTAAAATACTGCTATGTGTATGTGCGCCCAGTTTAAAAAAACATTGTGAGAATGAAAAACACATTTTCCATCTCCATTAGATATTTTAAGATGTATACCATGGCTCAAGTGATCCTTGGCCTATGAATTGACATACTCAAGTGCACATTTGAACTGGAACTAAGCTTAGCCCAATCCTTGAAACTGTTCCAGTTATGTAATGTTATTTCACCTGCTTGCAGAAGATACCATAATATTTTCCACTCTCCAGTTTTACATGTCAGATTTGCAGTATTGCTCCCCATACACTTTGCTTTGAAGACAGCATGCAGCACTGAATTAGTTCTTGTTGAAAGGTCATTGGTAAATTTGAATTGAGTAGAACTGCAGACCAAAAGAGAAGAAAAGATGCCAA